GCATGCACAAAAATAAGACAGAGCAAAACCAAGCAACAATATACAACAACACAACATCTGCTCTGATTTTTATTATTTTCTTTCTTCAGGAGACTAGGCTTCTTTTACTGATCCTCTTAAACTTGTTCGTGCTGTAGGAGTAAGCCATTGGTTTGAGCCTTCTTTCCTAATGTGCACATGGACTATAAGTCCTCCTCAGAACACTGCATTTGCTACGTCCCAAGGGGTTTAGTTTGTTGTGTTTTATTTCCTTTTTATTTGTTTTCTTTATTATTTCTTTTAGTGATTCCTAGTTTTAAAGCGTTATGATTAGAGATGTATTTACATAGTAATCAATGTTCTTTTCAATGATTTTGATATTGAATGTTCTCAAATTTAGCCTTTGGGAACCACTATACAGTGGCTTTCTTAGGTCTTTTAACACCATTTGAAAAAGAATTTTTTTCCTTTTGTCCCACCTTGGAATCACCTTATTTCTCTATGCAAGTCTGGTTCTTTCTATTTACAAACCACATTCAGGTATTAGATGTACTGGATGTCAGGGAATTACATGTTTTTAAAAGAATGAAGGTTATAAGAGGCAAAATCCAAATGAAAAAATAATGCCTCAGTGTTATTGGAATGTCAGTGATAAAACAAACTTACTGCTGCAAACTAGAAATAAAGTAAGGAGAAAAAAAGACTGTTGAATAGAAATCCTGCCTTAGACATTTAAAAGTAGATTAGATACTTTGGGAAATTTATTAAACTTCTTTGACGTTAAAGTTCACTTAACATAGTGGTTTTTTTAAATCATTTTATTGGGGGCTCATACAACTCTTAACACAATCCATTCATACATCAATTGTGTCAAGCACATTTGTACATTTGTTGCCATCATCATTTTCAATACATTTTCTTTCTACTTGAGCCCTTGGTATCGGGACCTCATTTTTTCCCCCTCCTTCCCTCATGAACGCTTGATAATTTATAAATTATTATTATTTTTTCATGTCTTACACTGACTGATGTCTCCCTTCACCCACTTCACATATTGTCTTAAATTTTGACAAAAACCCCAAGATGGTGTTCTTTCCTAGAGTACTCCTGAGTAAAATAAGAATGATAGTATCTTGCCAGTTTTTGTGAGGATGTAATTCGTATATAAATTTATCCCTAAGCAATATGTACATACTACGTGATATTTACGGTCTCTGGTTAATGCAAATGATTAAGCTCTTCACTACTCACTGAAGAGAGTGGATCATTGAGCCCATCGGAAATACTAAATCCCCAATGAAAACCAAACTCCTGTCTTCAGGGTAACCCTGACTAGTAGACACTCCTTGTCCTCTAGAGCAAAACCGTCCTTGTGAATTTTGAGACTTTAGCTCTTTAAAGGAGTAGAAAGCCTCAGCTTTCTGCTGCAGAACAGCTGGTGGTTTCAAACTGCTGACCTTGTGGTTGTTTAAGCAGCCCAACACATAACCATTACACCACTAGGGCTCCGACACTCGACATCCGCCTTTGACTTTGCTTTGGAAAAGTTACAGCCTTGAACCCTGTGGAGCAGCCTGCTCTGCACACTGCACTAACAATAACATGTACTAATTTGCTGAAGTCTAGATAATGTATTAATGCAGTAACTTCAGAGACTTTCCTGAAAACGTATTTGTGTTGCTTTTACTTAGAATTTTAGTAAGTTGAGTTGTTAGGTTTCTCAGAATGCAGCAAATGGAAAAAAATCAAGGTGTTGAAAGAACAAAAAGGATTGGTGAATGCATACAATAAAGAAGCAATGTAGAACTTGAAGCTGTTGAATTATCGTGGGTGTGCAGAAAGGAATAAATCTCTAAAAAATAAGAAATGTAACAGTTTGAGGCATTTCTATTCTTTTATACCTATGAATAAAACCCAAAGGTATGAATATATTACAGTATGGTGTGTTCAGGGAAAATGTTAAATTATTCAGTATATAATCATCAATAAATAAAAGTATTATATTCATTTTTATTTTTAAAAAAGCTGCTTAAATGAATGCATATTACACTTAAGGATTTTATTACAAATGTGAAAATTAACTTACTTTCATCATCATACATGTATCTTCATAGCCTGTTAAAAAATTAATATTTATGTTATCTAGCATCTGGCATAAAAAGGAGAGGAGCAAAATTATTCAAAAAACATTTGAGAAATATGGCGCTGAGTTAGCCCCCCTTCTCCTCTTCCCTTTCCTTGCTCTCCAAAGAAGACCTTGACTCTTCCGGAACGTCACCAAACTTGGCCAGCCCAATTAGCAAGAAATGTACACTATCTTTTAAGACCTTGAATTACTACCTGCAGCTGTGCTGTTCCCCCAGACCCCATGACCCTGTCAGCATGATAAACGTGTAACTGCTAGCTGGCCATCAGACCAGGCCAGAGATACCTGAGCAGGCTGGAGATCCATGAGATCCAGGAGCAGGCCGGAGATCCCGAGCAGAGCTCTTGTCTTTTCTTGGCCATGGATCCGAGCTAAGTCAATTTCCAAGACATCCTCAGCCGATAGCAGCAGGGTGGACCCACGGCCTGCCCTTGCTTCCCTTTCCAACCCCCAACATCACAGATACAGCCTATGTGACTCCGAACCAAAAGAAAAGAATTATGTCCAAGTGGTTTATAATTTCTCCATCTGGATCCTCAAAACAACCAATAAAAAACAAGTTACCAAAGGAAAAATAAGATAAAACATATTTGAAACTGTAAATAGTTGACGGTTGAGTTTTCTGTCTAGATACTCATTGTCTTGCCACATGAACTTAGAATTGCTGTGAATAACTCAGGACTATTTTATTTAGGGCTTCGAAATTATCCATCTCCTCACTTAAAAAAGAATCCAGAGACGACCCCCGTTCCAAAGTGATTCAGATCAGAAGTTGTGTTGTCTCTCCCCTCTTCACACCAGTCTAACTGTGTCAGTGCTGGTATATGTTAGATCATGATGGCGTTCTTTTAACTTTCAGAACGGAAGATGAAAAGGAAGAAGAAAGCAGTGAAGAGGAGGATGAGGATAAGCGGCGTCTCAATGACGAATTATTAGGAAAAGTTGTAAGTGTGATAGCTACATCGGAGAATACAGAATGGTGTCCTGCTTTGGTAAGGAAGATTTCTTTCTTACTAATTAAAATTGTTTACTTGACATTGATTTTAAAATATTTTTGAAGTATCACACATATTTAACTTGGATTTTAGTACATTGTTTCATATCAGGTCCATAATACATAGCAATCATTTATGAGAATATTTCAGTTCTTCCTTCAAAATGTACCTGCTGATGTCTTCTATCTTCTATTATTTTGAGAGCCCTGGTGTTGCTGTAGGTGGTGGTGGACTAACTGCAAGGTTCAAATCCACCAACCTCAAAAATCCTGTATAGGCTGCTATGAGTTGGAATTTATAGCAACTCTAGGTCTTTTCTGGGGGGGGCGCCCTTTTAATTTGGTTCTCAAATTCCTTCTTTACTATATTTAGACTAATTTTCTAGAATTTTGTAGCAAAATCTTTTCAAAATAATTTATGTAATCATGATAGTCCCGTTCTCAAAAAACTTTTAATTGCCAAATGGATAATTTTTGCTGCATTCTTCTGGTGGGTATTTGAGGCCAACCTGAACTCTGTCTTTTTCCCATTTTTTGTATGAACCTATCATGTCCTTTCCCATTTTTCCAGGCTTTCACTTCTGCCCTAAATCAATTAGTCAATATTTATTGAGGCTCTGAAGTGAATTCAGCTTTGTATTTGGTCATTCCAAACTAAAGCAAAAACCCTTCCAAATCTGACTCATAGTGACCTACAGGACAGAATAGAAATGCCCCTTCGAGTTTTCAATACTATAAATCAGGAGTCCTCAAACTACAGCCCACGGGCCACATGCGGCCCGTTTGTTTTTTTACTTCAAAATAAGATATGTGCAGTATGCAAAGGAATTTGTTCATAGTTTTTTTTTTTAACTATAGTCCGGCTTTCCAATGATCTGAGGGATAGTGAACTGGCCCCCTGTTTAAAAAGTTTGAGGACCCCTGCTGTAAATCTTTGTGGGAGCAGACAGCCTCATCTTTCTCTTTAGGAGCAGCTGATGGATTTGAACACCTTCCAACCCAACACGTAGTTTATTATGACACTTGGCCCTTAGAAAGAAAAATAAGATGTTGGCGCATGTTGTCCTCAAGAAGCACACTATGCATATTCAAGGGATTACATATTAATTAAAGGTTAGTAGTAGTAACTCACTGCCAGAGTCGATTCCGACTCATAGCTACCTTATGGATCTGAGTAGAGCTATCCCTGTGGGTTTCCTAGCCTGTAATTCTTTTTTTTTTTAATCGTTTTATTAGGGGCTCATGTAACTTTTGTGGCAATCCATACATACATCAATTGTGTAAAGCACATATGTACATTGATTGCCCTCATCATTCTCAAAACATTTGCTCTCCACATAAGCCCCTGGCATCAGCTCCTCATTTCCCTCCCTCCCCTCTCCCCCCTCTCTCATGAAACTTTGATAATTTATAATTTATTATTTTGTCATATCTTGCACTGTCCGACGTCTCCCTTTACCTACTTTTCTGTTGTCTGTCCCCCA